AAAAAAAAAATTGTTTACATGTAAAAGGCTTTGTTTGAGCCCCATTTTTTGAGAAAAAAAAATAAATAAATAAATAAATATATATATATATATATCCACCAATAAATTAATGTGCCAACTCATTAGTGTTTAGGATAAGATGAGCACCGGTGCTCATTAGATCATTTCTGTATGTATGTATGTATGTATGTATATATATATATATATATATTATTTTTTTTTCTTTTTGAATTTTTAGTTTTGCAGTGTTGACTGCCACGGCGAGGCGGTAAGGTTGATGTAGTTTTCATTTATTGGTCATTTCCAATTTTCACCTCCTCCAAACCACTTTCATAAAATTAGCACATATGGAACATGTTTTGTCCCCATTTTCTCAAATTTACTTTTTCTCATTGTTTTCGGTCGTACATTTTATGGACCCATAATTTTATCAATCACATATTTCATTTATTCGCATCAAAATCTATTGAAAATCTGATTTTCAACGAAATCAAACATGTGTTATAGTCTGATGGTTTTCGTCTAAATATTTTATTAGAATGCTTCGTAATGAGTGATATTTTCTATCACGCTTTTGTTNTTAGAATGCTTCGTAATGAGTGATATTTTCTATCACGCTTTTGTTTTATTCAAACATATATGGGGCAAATTAGTACTTTACTTAATGTGTGTTGTTGAACTTACTTTTGATTTTCAAGAGTTTAATGGTGATAACAAAGTTGGGATTGGCATTTTACTAACGTGGAATGTAAAGTAGTGGAAAAAAGACGAAAAAGTCAAGGGGTATATATATATTTAATTGAAACGTGGCACAAAACACAATGAAATTGCCAAAGCGGAAAATCATACACTTTGTCAACTTGCACATAATTCTATTTGCTTCACTTGACTTTGTTTGCAGGCAAAATTTAATTTAGTTTTAGGTCTTAAATTATTGGGATTAGCTACCTTTATATTTAATTTCTTGAGGTGGAGTGGTTGAAATATAATAAATTTATTGCTTCTTTTAGTGTTTTAGATTACTAGAGACGTGACTAAATAATCGCATCAAAAATTTATCTTAGTTATTGGATTTATTTTGACTTTATAAGTTGACTAAAATTAACGAAACTGACTTTCAAAGAAAAACTTAAAAAGATAATATTTTCTTTCCAATTGTGCTGGAAGAGAAGAATTTATTGGTGGATCTCGTGTATTCCCTCGCCCTTGGGGTTTCCCTTTCTCATTATCCGTCACTCAAGTTTGGCTCTCCCCGTTCCTAGATTTGCGCTATGTGTCGCTTTTGATTTGGACCCCTACACTACCTGCTCTTAATCCCTTCTCATCATGAATGTGGAGAGGGGGAATTTATTTTTACAATTTTTTTTTTCTTTTCTAACATTGTAGATATAAACATTATATTCGAGATCGAGTTACAATAAATTTAAAAGGTCGAGGGTTTTAAGTGTCAATAAATAAAGATTGAGTATATTTTTGTACAATTTAATATATTAGAGACCTCCACTGCAATATAACTTTATCCTTATTTCTATGTTTTTTTATTTTTAAGTTGCTTCATTGACCAGCAACAGTTAACTATTCTTCAAAAAATTGAGGAATTGTTACGATTTTACAAGACAAACAAAAATGTACAAGTGCAAAATTTAGATAATTGGGTTTTAAAATATAAAAAATAAAGTAATTTGGGAGAATTTCTAGTGGGTCCCAATATGGGGTGGCATTTGAAATGTAACAAACAAATTACTGTGGCATGGGATAGTCCACATTAGTATTTGATTGTAACATTCTTTAATTTCTTTGAGTCAGCCACTTTCAATGAATTTGTTCAAAGACTTTTACCAACTTCGAATTGAAAAACATCCTTTTTACTATTTCTATTTTTTCAAAGTCAAATTAAACAATAAATCAAGTAATAACAAGTTTGTTTTCTTTAAGGTTAAGGAAACTATTTAAATTCTCAACAATTAATTAAGGATTTATTTTATTTTATTTTTTACAAAATCATTTAGTCCTCATTTAAGGGTTTTCGGGCCTCCATCTCATGACATAAGTGAGGTTTCTACATTATCCCGTGTACCTCGTGTATATTTTGAAAAATAAATAAAGTAGAGTGGATTGTTAACCTTGAGGGGTTGCTCAATTAGTCAGATTTTAGGTTTGCTTTCTAATGGCCGTCAATTCGAGTACACTCAGGGCTATTGAAATGAGTACCCGACCGTCAATTTTAAGGTTTCGTGGAATTAATCGAGGTACGCGCAAAATGGTCCGAACACTCACAGTTATTTAAAAAAAAAGGTAGAGTGGATTGTTATGACCTTGACCATTAAAGTAAGTATTAGAAATGTCAAGTTTTTAAAACGCTTAAGTTTAAAATCTCAAAAAAATATTGCAATCACGAGTAAAATTATAAAAAAATAGAATTTGAAGCTGAACTAATGAATTTATAGCTTTTCTTAAATGTTAACGTCTTTTACCTTCGGCGATTTTGTATTTTATTTTTTTCATAATTAGACCTAAACTCAAATAAAGAAAGGAAGATTGTGATATATTTTTGTTTAAAATAAAATTATAACATAAATCTTTCTATTTCATCAAAAGCAATTACTATAATCATTTCTAATGTGTTGAATTAGTTTACCCTTAATAATTGTCATAATTTTTCATTGACTTCATTTAATTATTTTTCAAATTTTATATGATTTCCACTTTATCTCTTAGTGCTAGGTTTTACCATCATTAGTGCCGGGGCATACTTGCCTTTGACCTTGAGTTGGCTTCTAGAATGGGTTACATTTTCATCTTCCAACCAAAGCTTCATTCAAAATAAATTATTTTTTTTTTCAAATTGTTCGTCTTCCTAACTATTTTATAGCAATTAATTCAAAATTTTCTTCAAACATTTTTAAACAACAAATTGCTTAGAAATAGAAAAAATAAGTTGATCAGAAAAGTCAAACGAGTTTTTATTTCGAACTAATCAACTATTATTATAAAAATATAATCGATAGAGAATGATTACGAGTTTTAAGATCTTTTAATTCCATTCATATTTGTTGGAAAATAAAATATTTATTTATTTTTGGTTAAGCATGAGAAAGAATAATCATTGTCAAATGACAACATGCGAATGTGAATTAATAAATAAATAAATAAATGAAATGGGTGAATGAGAGAACCTTGTTTTATTATTTATTAAAAAATTATAATTAAAACTTCATACTGTCCACTTTGACAATTATATCATACTTTAAAATTCAAAGAAGTATCATCATTAAATATTGAAAGTGGAAAACCCTCATAAGCCACCTTCTCCAACAATTCATCTGTTGGCCAAAATATCATATTTACCTTTTCATTTTTAATTTATCTAAAACGGTCACACTTATAATTTAAAAATATTAAAGAAGTAAATATCACTAGATTGAAAATGAAAAAAAATAAAAAATATGCCGATAAAATTTCACTTCAAAGAAAAAAAATAAAACTGTGCACACAAAATAAAATAAGGAAGCAAAAGGGCAAAATTGTCAATTTTTAGATGATATTTTGTAGAATAAGATATGGTAGCCATTGAGCAAACAAAATCCAGGTGGTCCGAAATATGGCTGCCACCTTCAATGGTCGCTGTCCACCGCCGTCAGCCGCACCACAGCCACCACCATTTGCACACGCATTTATCTTCTCTTCGTACATTCCATACAAACAACATATCGCCTTTTGGACTTCTAATATATATATCTGTCAACATTTCAATACAAACTTTAGTATTGTCGATTTCGTAAAATGGTCACGCTTGTCCAATGAATAAGTAGTTTTTGCATATATATAAAAAGATATACTAGATTAATCGACATAACAAACAAACATCTCACTTCCTTAATCATGTTTCATGGGATAATTTAGGGGTCAATAGGGTGGACCCTCAAGAAAAATAGATATTTTTTTACAGTCGGGATTTTTACCAATTGAGTTTGCATGTCAATTTCGGATTACAATTCTCAAAGGTACATTTCAATTAGCAAATTTGTTAAACGATGAGGTGACCGTGACAATTTAAAAAGTTACAAGAAATGAATTTAATAAATTTAATTCGTTATCTCCTTCACCTCTGTTGGCATATTTTCACTTTCAAACTATATTTCTCGATTTCGGATATGCTCTTGGCATCGTTTCGAAAAACTAGTGACCAACTATGTGATGCACATTTCAAAATGAGAACTCGTTAAACGATGAATTTAAAATAGCTATTTTATTTGCGTTAACTCTGACGTCAACTTAAATAAAATTTTATTTAATGTTAATTGATACTTGTCCATATAGAAATATAAAGAAGTTTCATGTCATA